GGTCTCATCGTGCATCAGAGATGGAAATGACCGCTGATACCGGAATCGGGCAGCAGGAGACCTGATGTTAGTGAAACCATTTATGACGAGAGTGGGCAGCCTATCTACAACTTGTACAAACGGTTGGAGCGTTGGACTGAGCACTTTGAACGTTAATTTAATCGGCCAGAATGCCTGGATTGCTCGTCGGCCACTGATTGCCTCGCTCCGTGGGCTGTCCCTTTGGATCCGCCCTCTCGCTTAGAAGCCTAAGGTGAGATCGAACTGATGAAGTTAAATAAAGCCGCGGGACCTGATGATCTTCCACCAGCCATCTTCAAGTTCAAGGGACCTGCTTTTATGGATAATTTACACGAGTTACTATTCAAACTGTGGGAGAAGGAAACCGTCCCAACCGACTGGAGCCGCTCCCTCATTATACCAGTTTTCAAGGGACGCTCACGATCGGAATGGGGCAACCATAGAGGAATCACTCTAATCTCCATCGTCGTCAAATTGCTTGCTTCCGTCATCTTTCACAGACTGACTGGCAATCGTGAAAGCCAGATTCGTGAAGAGCAAGCCGGGTTTCGTCGGGGTCGTGGCTGCATCCACCACATCTTCACCTTGCGTCAGTTGTTGGAGCACCGTCACATATATTGGGTGCCCACCGTTGTCGTGTTCCTCGATATCAAAGGTGCATTCGATTTGGTGGATAGACGTGCACTTTGGGACTGTCTACTCAGGAAACGTGTGCTTGAGAAATATGCAAATATTATCCGAGCATTATATGCTCGTAGCTCGGGCAGAGTGAAGGCTTACGGCAAGTTGTCGTCCCACTTTAATATCTCCAACGGTGTGAGACAAGGATGCCCGCTGTCACCTTTCCTCATCAACTTCGCTGTTAACGAAGTCATGGAAATCGTGTTCACAGGACAAGACTTGGAAGGTGTGGATCTGCTCCAAGGAGAACGACTTGTTTACTTGTAACATGTTAACGAAGTTGCCCTACTCTGTGACAGCTCCCAGACGTGCCAAGCTGCACTGGACAAATTAGCACTAGCTGTCCGTCACTTCGGGCTTTGCTTAGAACAAAGGAATTGCAAAGCGTTCGTCCAAGATTGGTCTGGACCGCCTCCTTCGCTGACCCCTAGTGGGGATCAGCTAGAAGTCGTTCAAAAATTCAACTACCTGGGAAGTTGTATCAGCGCCCGTGGGATTGAAGATGAGATCACGAACCGTATAGCAAAACCTCGAGACGCTTTTGCTAACCTTTGCCACTTATGGCGAAGGCGCAACATCATTCTCGCCCTGAAGGGTAGAGTGTACAATGCGGCAGTACGTTCAACCTACTGTACGGTTGTGAAACCTGACCCCTTAGATCAGCGGACATAAAGAGGTTAGTTACATTCGACCACCTGTGCCTTCGCAATTTAGCTCACATCTAGTGGGGACACCGAGTAAGCAAAGAGCGTGTTCGACGCCTTGTTTACGGCATAGGAAAAAAACCGCGAAGACCGTGGACCCTTCCCCCCCCCCAGCAACGATTCACAGTCTCCTGGAGTCAGTAATCGAGGTGGAGCGAGTTGAACAGGTCAGCACATTGACAACATTCACATCAAGTGCGGCCACGCCGGGGATATCAAACAACCAACATAGAATTTGAGGTAAAGCAAACACCCAAGAATGACACAGAATATACAGCAGAAGAACGGAACTGAACAAACCAAAGAAAGTGAGTGACTTCTATGCAGAATAAAAAGACCTAGTTTAAGTGTAAGTTGGTTTAGCGCAACTGCGATGAAGAAGCATCATGAATGCGCATCAACCTCAGCATGAGGCACTTCTAAGACATTTAAGCCCATGAGTACTAGCGAGCTGAGGCGTTTTCTTCTGGCCCAGGAAATTCTCAAAGTAAGGTTCAACAAAAAACATCCAATCGTGTGGGAGGCAAATTGAAATCTGTCCGAATGACAGTACCATTGACTTGACGTTTTCGCTACATAGCAGTATCTCTTAGCTGTGCCTAAAAGCAGGCACATGATTATGGCAAAAGAAGGTTGATTGAACGAAGATGACCGGTGCCGCGTAGACAAGCAAGAGGCCAATCAGTCGCTGCAAATCGATCATGCGTAGACCAGCCAGAGTGAGAGAGAAACCAGGATTGTGTTGGCCTCGTGGGAACAAAGCACAGCTTCGTCACCAACAACGGCGAAGCGGCAGCTAGGGGACGAGACGTGCGGATTAGCCAGACAGACAACTGAAGCACCCAAATATGACTCAAGGCGAACACAGCAAAGTAGATGGAAACCAGTAGAACGCAAGGACCAATGAGCATAAGTCCAGAGCAGAAAACACCATGTGAAGCCGTCGCGACCAAATAGCGCACATCATTTATGTACAGTGTAAAAAATGGTTTGCTTTATGCAATACCAAATGCTGATCATCGCTCAGACTTTGTTTGCAATTCTAGAGTCCATCCGCTTGAAAAAGTACACGTTTGATTCACACCATTGTAACCAACACAGGTAGCTGTACACGTTGGAGTTCGTTACACGATGCGCTAAAGGTGGTCCTCGTACACAATATGAGCCTTCGCCTTCCCACGAAGTCACAAACGGTGGTTTTGTCGTGCCAGAGGCAATATGCTGAGAGTATAATGGCTCACCACACCCCAGCTGTTTCGCTAGATATTAGGAAAAAGCGAAATCCCGTTGTCGTCATTCGAGTGGATAACTGGACGCAGCTCGTGTCATATTCACGTAATCAATTCCTGTTTCGAATGCCTGGATGTATAGATGGAGACAGATATAATACCTGATATCGCAGAAGTGCCAACCCAAAGCTTAGCAAATGTGATCGTCGACGTGAGATTATAAGTGTTTGTAAATCACCTCAACAGCAGCAACACAGTTGGTGGACTAAGAATCGCAACTTAGTGCAGAGACCGCTCCCTTTCTAGCCATGAAATAGACTGTTCGTGTTGATATCCGAAAAGACTCCTCATCCGACCGTAACATGATAGGCGGAGTTCATGAGGATTGGACGACTTCCCCTCTTCATGGTGCTTTTGAGATCACAATAAGCAGGAATGAATCCGCTAGTTTCTGCTTGATAGAAGAATGTATGTTGATTGGCATAGTTCGAATACACGAATAGCTTAATTCCGCAAGGTCATCGGATCATGCAGGGCACCAAGACATTCGGTATGTAGGTTGCAAGTTCGAGAAGCAAGTTACTACCATAGGACTAGTCCAAAGCGCCATAAACTCTAATGTTTACGAGGCGACAAGTCACAGCGGGTCAGTTCCTCTGAACTGCCGTGCAATTCCTGATTGTCAAATAATCAAGAAGGCCAGTGTACTGGTCAGGGAGACCTGCATGACCTTTCGGATCCTGAACACATCTACTGACAGAATCATGTAAAAGGTATTGTAGCGCAATTTATTCAGTTGTGTGGAACAGAGACTCGTCCGATGCCTCTTGAAAACACAGACGGTAGTCTTCGTCGACCAATGGTGTTTGCAAATGATGGTACGACTGACCAGCGAATACCAAAGTTAGCTCGTTTGCATTCGGTAACACACTTGCAGCTATCCCACCAGATAGCATGTTATAGATGCATAGCGTTCTCGTGAGAAATGTACAGTAGTTATATTGAGTGAAAATGTTCACCCAAAGTTACATGCTGTGTGAATTGAGCTTAAGTGAAGGATTTTTTCATTACTGAAATCAAGGACGTGGCTAAGTCTGTGGATTTGAAAATTGGGATATCTGTAGTTGCTAAGCCTTTGTACCAGACCATTCCACGGACACAACATACCTAGATGTAGGATGAAGAGTTTAAACTTGCTGTAACCAGTAAAATGAAGTGTTGCTCCGAATTCTCCTATGTGACCAAGTGATGTATATTAACTTCCGCCACGGATGGAGTCCTTCACATGGTTTAAGAAGACGCACAGAAGACCACAGCATACATGGGCTGTAGAATTGGGTGTTTCATATAGATACACAGTTAGGGATAGGGCTAGTTAAATGGTTAAGAGGCGCGAAAGTGCGTGCAATTACGGAAAAGATTCATACATTATCGGATGGCCGGAAAACTCTTGGACAGTTCCCGGGTAAACAAGCGTACGCACTTTAGTGGGGCGTTTCAACGTACTCATGAAAATCTGACCACATTTATCAGAGGCTTTCGTAGGAAGTAAAAATAATCGCATAACGTTCACAGAGAAGCGATGCGAATAGGGCTTCATTGGAGTAAATTTCTGAAAAATGCTTCAGGCGATACACTGTAACGTGATCAAGCGATAGACGGCTGTGAGATTTTATTAAGCGAATAAACGGAGCAAACAACCTTGCTAGACGTTTCGACGCTAGGCCGCACCGACACTGTGCTCAGGCTTCACGTGGGATGCGAGAAGAGCTGACCAAATATAGGATACAGCTGGGATGTGAGTGGCTAGCAAACTTGCGTGGATGTTGACTGAGTGAACGAGGAACGTAGCTTGAGGCGAACAAACGGTCAGATTCGGCAAACCAGTCCCGCGGAAGGCGTTCACATTGGTCAAGGTCAGGAAGCCGAAGGTGCTGGTGTCGTAGTTCCTCGTATTCGATGAAATGGTTGACCTATAAGTGTAACCGTCCTTTTTATAGAATATATGCCGTCTACCGAAGCTTAACTTTTGGTTTTCATGGTTAAATTGGACGCCAGGCAAAGTAATGAGAATCAGTTCCGCAGTACAACAGTATCGATGGCAAGATCGGGAGTTGGACCGATGCAACAAGTTACTAGAAGCGTTTGCTCAAGCCATGCGTGTGCAGGTGTGTTGAAATGACAATAGCAACGACGAGATCAAGTTTGGGAGGTGGAACGCTGCTAGTATCGTTTTTAGCCAATGAAACATCATAAGAACACTCTAAGACTGCGGTTTCTTGAAGAGACCACATTGAAGTCCGTACTGTATTTTCAAAAGAACAGTGAGTGATCATGGTAAAAATAGATGCGACAGAATATGTTGCTAACACACTTTCAAGGAGTCAAATTGTGAGAGGAGATCCGAAAAGGAAGTGGATGAGTTTTCTGAGTGATCGAAACGCAGCGGCGAGAAGATAAATGCGTTTCGGAACCAACCCCAGCGAACTCCAACGGGTTGCATACGCAATGGGCTTCGAAATGGATTGAGAATTGGAGCGTTGATACCAGTCAGATCTTGTGTGTCGAGAACAGGGCCACAATCCGGTTTATAATCATCGGAACGAAGACCAAGAGAGCGCGCTACGCGAAAGCTCCAAGCGCAACTGTAGAGGCAAGCGTCGGTGAAGTAAGCAGGGACGCCCATAGCCTAAGTAACAGACAGAGAGCGATTCGTCATTCAAAAAAGGTGATTTACCAGTGGGACGTTTCGATAAAGAACTATGGAGGCGAGTTGCATGGAAACCAATGCACTACGGTTATGGAATGGAGTATAAGGTCGTATAGAGAAAGCTATGTAGAAGTGAGTATCCATTGCATTACTGGGCTGCCAATTTACTTAAACAAGCTGGTGATAAATAGCGAAACGCCCATATATATGCATATATATATATATATATATATATATATATATATATATATATATATATATTGTTGGCGGCATCCGGTTTCGGATTCGCCTGTCACTGTGGCAAGCCACAGGACGCCTGCGCCTACAGAGGGACCATGGGTGGCTTGCGCTGCACTACCCACAGCTCCATCCGCACACCCCATATGCAGTGTAAACCCGAAGGAATAAGACCTGGAGGCATGTGGATGGAAGCCAGCTTTCATCAACGGAGCCGGCCCACACTCCTTCACAGGCAAACACAAGCACGTTGTATTTGGGGAATCAAGTGCACACATGGCGGTGGCTGGACCGTAGTCCGCTCCACACTGACTGCCTCTTTGAGCCTAGCACGGCCACAAGAACCATGCACCCCGTCCCCTCCAGCAACGACCAACTGTCTCCTGGAGCCACTATGAACGAGATAGTGGGTAATAGACAGGTAGGCACCTTGTCAACATGCACATCAAGTGCAGCTACACCTGGGATGTCAATCACTCAAAATGCCGATAGCAAATAAAGTAAACGCATATGACGACATAAATACTCGCTAAATGAGCATATGGAAGAAATTGGTTAGAGGGGAATACGCAATAAGTACAAAATGTCCGAGTTATCTAAAAAAATACCACAGGATACAATTACGCAAGTTTATCACAATCTGTATGAGCGACGTGTGCAAGTTGGGAAAAGATAATCAAGTAGGCGGAACAAATCAAATCAAATGCAATGAATTTCATCCACATTAAAAAGATCTAGTTTAGGTGCAAGTTGCTTTAGCCCAACTGCGATGAAGGAGCATCAAGAATACAACATCAGCCTCAGCACAGGGCATATATATATATATATATATATATATATATATATATATATATGATTCCACACATTTGGGTAGAGAAAATGTGCTCTCAGTACCATGATTTAAAGAGAAGGCAATAGTAGAACAAAACGCAGTTGTTTCTTGTGGTTGATACACGCTGTTTTGAGTGTTGGTTAATCGAAGAGTTACTAGTAGGCAATACGGCAAAACAACACTGGTGCTAGTGAGAACTGCTGCGAGTGATAAAATGTAACGCTTCTAACCAATGGGAGTCAGAGTCGCGTAGTCCTCCGCCTGGACGCCGCACCGATCCGACTGATGTTAAGCTTGAAGTTGCCTCCTTCATGAATCTTCTCCACTTCCTTGGCAGTCCATCAAAGCACATTTTCCAATCGCTTCCGGTAAGCGCAAATAACAATCGACGGGGAATGCGACACGCTGACATGCGTAGGACTTGGCCGATCCAACTGGCGCGGTATCGGAGAATAACATTTTGGAAGCAGGGACCGCTTGCTTTAAGCATTTGATCACGGAATTCCGTATTACTTGTGCCGTATAGCAAGCACACATGAGAAATTGTTCGAAGAGAACGTTGTCAGAAACTGCAATCATTTTAGATCTTTCACGCTAACAGGTAACGTCCCATGGAAGTGAAAGAGGATCGTACGGAAGGTAGCATTATACACCTTGCCCTTGAGCTTCAGATCGACATCGTGACGCTATGGACGTTTCAATTTGATGGATACGAAGCAGTTTTTGCAATCCCTTGTGCGACATCAACTCCGAAATCATAGATAAGTGAAGCAAGCAACTTGTTAACCCTTTGTGTCCTGGTGGTACCTATAAGTATCACATTATTTAAGTTGTAATATTGCTTAAATGCAAGCGTTATTCCTGCCGGTACTCGCAAGGATATGTACAACAGACTTCAGTCAACAATTAGGTAACGGCCAGATCTGATCCATTGTTCTACAGTGTGTGGAGTTAATTGGTATGGTTCACGTCGAGCGTAGTCGCAAATTGATTTCAGAGAACTATGAGTGGTTCCTCTAATTGTTAAAATTTAGCTGGTTTTGTTGCAGCATGTCAGTTCCATTAACTGTTATTGGTTTTTGTAGTGGATATGCCATGATCCGGTATATTTGTTTTACAAGTTTATTCGAAATCCGTATTACACTGCTCCAACATATATGTTGGTACCAGAAAGTTCCGTCAGGCACCAAGCGTAATATTGACAGTTAGAGCCTTTACTGGGCATAACGATAGAGTGAGGCGTGAAATGTAGAAATTTGTGCAATTTATTCTTAGAGCAGACATTAATTTATTTAGCAGTCTTCATTTTGAATATTGCATATACACATATTGTGAGATGAATGCTTAATGAAATTGTTATTTTGTAGGTAGTAATCGTGTCGAGCCTATATGAGTGATTATATTTATGAGTTTGAAGTGTATCAAAGCAAATCACAGGACAGTCCAAATTCTAAAGGCAGATTTGGATTGGAAGGTGTTGCAGACAGACTCATCCAGACGATGAAAGGAGGTGATTATGTTGTAGTAATTTACAATTATTCTACATATATGGGATTAGTTGAGCATTTGAAGGTGAACAACATGTTTGCGTGTGAAATTGTCCGTCCTAACAGGAGACAAGTTCCTAAATTTCAAGAGGACGAGATGAAGAGATGTGATTTTGATTATCGTTCTAGAGATCAAGAAATTGTATTCTTTAAGTGGAAAGACAACAAGAGTGTTCATCCGTTGTCCAATTACCAGGGAAGTGACTCAATTACTGTGAGGCGCAAAGAGAGTAGTGGAATAATGGCCGACGTAGTGGAGACTAAGACAGGACAGGACTGCAATTCAGCCATGTGCGGAGTGGACCAAGCAGATATGCTGTGCTCAATATATGATTATGATAGAAAATGGAAAAAATGGGGGCACAGACTACTTATTGCATTCATGGAAATGGCATTTGTCAATGCATATGTAACGTATAAAAATCTACATCATGATTTCTCATTGCTGGAGTTCCGAATAAACTTGGCAATGGGGGTTGTTCTTATGGGAAACAGACCAGTGAAAAAGAGACCGTCCTTCAATTAATTCGATGTAATGACCAAACTAACTAAAAAGACGAAGGACAAAGAAGTATTCTCCGCTCAAAGTGGTCAGGATACAGAAGCTTAAAGCTCACTGGCCTATATTCATTTCAGAAAGGGGAAGATGTGATATGTGTCTTATTCGAAAAATCAACCAAGGTCATATTGGAAACGTTCATTTTGTGATACTTTTTGTGCCAAAACGACAAAAAGAACAGCTTTCAAGAATAGCATTTGCGGTAATGTACCTCCATGGTGAAAAATATTGGACCTACGTTCCTGTCAGTACTTAAAAATAAACACGATAATGTTCACAAAAATTTAATTTCTTTCATTTATGTTTATCACCAAGTAGAATCTAACTTATGGCATAAAATATTGAAAAAAAGGTTAAATTAATTCAGGATTCAAAGGGTGAAAGAATGTCACTGGTAATGACGAGCGCAGGCACAGGCAACTATCAATCCTGGAGTAGGGATCATATGTATGGCTGCGATGTTGTTGTATGCGCTTACCAATAGTTTGCTGTCAAGACATGCAAGACATGTAGACTGCAGCTGATTGGATGAGTGTTTGCCGATTGATCGCTATTAAAGTACATACACACTTGGCGGACTGGTCAAACAACCGCCTCGTGGCGCCAGCTGGGTTGTTCGGGTTCATCCCGTTCCAGCATATAGTTCGGCGGCAGTGTTCCAGGACGTGGCGAGTTTTCGCCTGGCAAGCGTTCTCCCCATAAAAAGCAACTAGTGTCAAGTTAACAACACTGCGACGTGGTGGATGTGACTCACCACTAAATAAAGTCACACTCCTTACTTCAGTCCAGTAGAACATTGTAATCCAGCAACGTGAAGCTGAAATTGTGGGGATGATTAGGCCCGTTTGTCAATCGAGCAAACGAAAGGTATATGAACTGGACCATCAGTCACCTGCTCCTAATGGGTACGATCACTTGAATTTGCTTAATTGCGTTGCAGGTAAGCTAGTTAGCTAAAGGCTCGGAACTGTGTCTCCTAAGTCAACACTACTTCGGCTTGGGCAGCCGCGTACTACCTTGCTCTCCGGCGAAACCATGGATCTCTGTTTTGTTCGGTTTTCTTTTATGGCAACTGTGCCTTCATTCGACTGGCACCGTTTGTGTCAAGATTTGCCTGTCAAAGAGTGAGTGTAGCTATATTTCCTGCTTGGAAATTATTAAGAATATCTGTAGCTCGGGATGTGGATGAGAGGATTGTTGTGTCCTTCGAGCTAGGCAATTTTGTTGCAGATGTTTCGTTGCCAAACTAAGCAACATCCTCTGTGCAGCTATATAGGTCTGGTTTGCAGTCTCATAAGCCACTACCAGATCCAAGTGACTATAGATCGTCTCCTGCTTTGAATGTGTCTTTGGTTTGCTCAAGTGGGTCGGCCAAGTGGTCACGTCTACATCCTGTCGATCTGGTACTTATGTTTGAAAATGAAGTATGTGATGAGACAGAAATCCAGCAACCATCATTTGGGTGATTTCAATTCTGTTGTTCGAATTTGCCGCCCCACGCAGTTGCATGAGGAAACTTTTCAAACAGGCCCAAACACATTGTAACACGCTGCAGCTGAAGAAGGCGGAGGAAGACCATCTAGTTAACATGTTCCAGCGGAATTCGTACCCTAAAAGTTTTATTCTACGTTGCATGAAATGGAAAATTCAACCAGCGCCCGCTTCCACAAGCGCAATGGAAAAGAAAAAATTCGTCCTACCTTACATCAATAGAATTTCTGAGGTGGCAGCGAGGCTTTTAATGTCTCACGGGATCAACAACGGAAACTATTCGGAGTAAACTTTTCAGGACAAAAGACCAACT